ACCCCGGCCAAATCCTGTATTCATATTGTTGAACAACATGCTTTTTTCTTGAGCTTTTTGCAGGGCTCTCTCTGCCCCTTGTTTCTCAAGCAGCTGAAAATGCAACAAATGATATTGTATATGTTTAATCACTGAAAGGGTGCCTAGAAAAATAAAAAACAACAACTTAATAATTTATTACAGAAGAATCTGTAGGATTTCATTCTAAGCAACCCTTAGTGGTCACTAAAGAAAGATAATTATTAAATTAAAAAAAAAACAAAAGCAACCAACCAAACAAAAAGAAAAGAATCACTGTAAAAAAAGACTGAGATTTATACAATCTAATAACAACAACAGTGATAACATTTGATATTTATTGTTGGTTCAGACTGAGTCTTTCACAATAATGTGAAGAAATTCCTTACTCTTTGAATTGAATCAATGATGGATGGTGAAATAGCAGGCAGAGCAAGGGTAGTGACAATGATTGGCCAGTTAATAATTAAAAATGTTAGAAAATATGCAAGGCCCAATCTTTACCCTTATGGTCAACTATGGGTGTGAAATTACAACTTTACAACAAATTAGAACTTTAACTGTATTTTATGTACCTTTCTATGCTTTTGGCCAAGAAGATGAGAGTTCCAAGCAGTGTCACTGTTGCATGTCACAAGGCACACCTAGAATGCATGTATTAAAATAATACAAAATTATTGATAAACTCTGTTCAAATACAGAGATCATGATGGAATACTTTAAGGATTAGAAAGTGGAAAATGTAATAATAATCAAAAGAATTCTAATTTGAGAACATGGCATGGCTTAATAATAATAATAATAATAATAATAATAATAATAATAATAATAATAATAATAATAATAATAATAATAACAATGTTACACCTGCTAAAGCTGAAATTCCAATTTGCATGATTGAGTGACAATAAAATAATAACAAAAATTAACATTGATTAATTTTTCTTAGTTACTTTTTGAACAAAGAATTCCAAAAAAGCATAAACTTGTTATCTGCATAGTTATTGTTAATTTTCTATCCAAAAAATCAAGGAAATCATTTTTTTATAAAATTGAAAAGTGTATCTACCAAAACACTTGCATGAGGATTTACATGTACATAACTGTACATGTATGTTTCTAGCATGATACAATAAGAACAATAATTTTTATCATGTTGTTCTAACTTTGGAGATGGTTAATTCTTTTTTTCGCACTTAACTCTAAAGTTAAAATGGTACAATACATGTCTCTACAAAAAATCTCTGAAAAGAAAGAATTGACCTTTATTGAGCCCCTCTGAAGTAGTGGTGGCTGTAAAGGTGGAATTCAAGTGGAAAAATAATGTACAAGTACACTAGAAAACAAAGCACCATGGAAAGGCAATGCTAACGAGACTGAGTCAGTAGCCAGTAATATTGCTGCCTCCACTTGTAGAAAATTATTTGCCGTTTACCGGTATTTAACACTCAAGGTTTAGTCATATTAAAAGCAAAGTCATTTTGTCTTTCATTGTAAAACAATACTTGACTTTAAACTGAATCTTTATTGATTCATTACTAAATAGAAGTTGGTTTTAAGACTCAAGAGTTGGATCTCACTTATGTCTCCACCATCTCCTTGGAATAAAATGGTACATTAAATTAATATTGTGCAAGCTTAGAAGATTTATTAACCTGACAGTGAAATTCAGGAGGTGGTTTCTTTTCTTCTTTTTCTTCCAATCTCTTTGGTAATTTGATGTTGAACTCTTCAATAGCTCGTTTAATATGTCGTGGACTCATACAGTGATGTTGAAACACCTAAGAGGAACGAATAATACATCAATTCTAACAAACAAGACCCAAATGTAAAAAATGTTACACGTCTTGGTTTCTGTGTGATAGACCTATTTACCATTTTTTCTTTGAGGGTCAATTTGTTAGTGATTACCATGATTCAGCAGTTATCTACAGATCTTAATCAGGAAATAGTTTGATTGGTAGGGTGTAGGGCGAGGTACACTGTCAAGTACATTCTAAAACAAACAGAAAGCATTTGCTAATTAAAGTTGCAGCGTAAATCTATGTTAAGTTTTTTTGGGGACAGAAATTCAGTGCCAAACCCATGTTTTATATATTTATACAAGCTATAGCCAGCTAGCAAGTGAGACACAATAAACAAATTATTTTCTTTTCCCAACCACAAGTTGGTGTATATCACCTTGGTCTAGGCAATTAAGACCCA